GCAAAAAGTAATTGAAGCAACGTTGCTGCGGTTACCAGACAAAGCCCAAGCAAATCTCATTTTTTTTTCCAATTTGATTTGATAGAATTTAAAATTCTTAGTAAAACACAAATGAAACTAAAAAACAAAATAAACTTGTTTTCGAATTGTGTTTTTTATAGAAATTATAATATTAACATAAATTGATTTTGACTAACGTCGGTCGGGGTCGGCATTACTCATATTTCTATTGCTGTCCAACAACAATTTTAGTCATGACCAACCATGTTGTGTAACTTGTATCCCAAAAGCTGCAGCTTTCTTGTGATGCCAATCTAATACAGTAAACAACAACAAAAACATATACAATTAAACCAAATGGCACTTCCCAAACACAAACAACACACAGCAAGTGCGGCAGGGCAGATCCACAAACGCAAACAACAAATACAACGGTTGCTCAAACTGCTGTTCGTGTTAAGTATGACGAATGTTGTTACTTTGGCAGAAAATTAGAAAATAAAATTACGTCATGAATTAAATTGAACGTTTGAGTGGGCAATTAAAAAATTTTGATACAAAAATCTATAAATTATAATAATTAATATTTCAACATTCCATTATACAAAAAATGGCGGAAAACAAATGAACATGACTACAAAACTTCAATCACAGCACCCGCTGCTCTATGGATTTTTAACGCTAAACGCCGCAAACTTCATACTCAACTTATGTCGCAAATAATATTTGCTAATTGATAATTATTTTCATTTGTAAAACTTTATTTAAATTTTTATTTTACATTAATTATTAAACATCGCAATAACCTGCACTTTCCAACTCATTCTAAATTATATATTACTTTCACATTGAACTTGTCTTTTACAAGTATTTCATTTCAATAATTATAAAACTTTTATATCAAAAGGAATATATATGAATGTATCACGCTTTGTACTTACTTTGTTTTTAACTATATAGACCATATTGATTTACGTTAATTAGAAGAATTTACCACTTGTACGAACAAACGCTAACTAAAAAAATGTGCCAAAGAAACTTTAATTATAATTGAAATTTTACGGCGAATTTGAAGCGAAATATGGTGAGCAATAAAAAATTTTTTAAAATTGTGAACCCTTTCCTTCTATTCTGGTTTTGTGTAATAGTACAATTTGGATAACATTTTATATAAAATAATATACTAACTTTTTTTTTTGGATTTTGTCATAAACCATTTATTAAAAAAGAAAACTACAATAAAATATTTTACATTAACTGTGAATATACCTGTTTGCAATTTGGGTAGCATTTTATATAAAATTAAAATATAAATACATATAATATATATATATGAATATATTTAATTAAATATATTAAATAAATATTCATTTTATATAATTTTAAATTTTTTAGAACTGTAGTCATAACAAAACTTACGAAACGGGAATTTCAATAAAAAAATTCTTTCACTATGACTACTGATACTTTTCAAAATATCACTCGTTTTGTAATAATGTCTTAAGTTACAATCAGGTTATATTAGAGTGAGGGTGTATATTAAGTAACAACAATGAGAAAGAACCATCAGTAAAGAACACGAGCAAATCCATTTAGTAGACTAAGGAAATATGCGCGCAGATCGTCAGGGATTCTGGAAAAGCTCTAATTGATTAGACTAAGTCATATTGTTTTCCTGAATATGTAAATAATAATAATATATTAAGAGTGAACCTTTTTACTTCATTCATCCATAGAATATATGTATACTCTCGGTTTAGCTCAATTATATACATACATACGTATTAAAATTAGAAGTTAAAGCTTCTGCTAACAGAGAAAAAATAAGCGAAATAAAATAAGCAAAAAGTGCTTACTAACAGCAATAATAAAGTGGAAATATGGTATACAAAATAATTTCACAAGACATTGCTGTAGGAAAGTCTACATAAATATTTTCAATGTTAAAAAAGCAATAAAAAAATGGCATTTCCCAACACAAACAACACAGCAGAGCGGCGAAGATGTTTAACATAAGCATAAAAACAAATACAGTAATGGTTGGTCAAATCATTACTCGTGTTAAGTATGACGAATATTTTTAGTTTTGCCAAAGAATTTCAAAATTAAATTACGTCATGAATTAAAATGAGCACTTTAGTGGCAATTCGAATACTTTAACATATAAATCAAGCGACTATATTCTATATTTAAATATTTATTTTAGAAAAAAAAATATGGCGCAAAACAAATGTGACTACAAAATTTTAAGCATAGATCACTCTGTATAGAAATCTGACGCTAAATACCGCAAGTCACACTCATGCCACCACTAATATTTTCTGATTAATAAACATATCTTAAAATTTCGTCCATTATTTTTAATTTACACAATTTCAATAAGAATACTAACAGCACTTTATTTTCATAACTTGAAATTAATAATGTGACATCATCTAAATTGAAATTGCACTTCGACATTGAACTTGTCTTCACCATAAATTTGATTCAATAATTATTAAAACCATTCATATACCTTAATAATTTGTTATTGGAAAGACATTTATTAGTAATTTTTACTTACTTTGCTTTTAACTATATACACCATATTGACAACCGCTCAAACAAATTACCACTTGTACGTACAAACACTAACTAAAAGGTTTACCGAACATATTTTAATTATAATTGATATTTCACGGCGAAATAAAAATTAAAGCGAAACATGGTGGCCAACGTTTTCAATTCCTACAATTGTGAACAGTTTACTTACAAATCAAAATTGTGTAATAGTCCAAGATATAAATTTTTTATGGGTACAATATATATAAATATACATATAGTTAGAATTTGAAATACTTTTTATTGTATCTAAAATTTTAAAACTTATAGTTATTTTATATTCTTTTGGAAAAAATAATTAAAATTGTGTTAACTAATTTTATTTAAAAACTTTTTAGTTCTATTTTTCATATATAATAATGGATTTCAATTTAATAAAAAGATAAATAAACCATAATTAACTTTTTTGCCATGTCAAGAATTTGGTAATATATTTCTTCGCAAATTTTTAAATTTTTGTGCTTTAACTAATTTATTAACATATTAAGCTTATAATATATATAACAAATTAATTCAATTTGTATATTTTATCAGATTCCAAATTTATACTATTTTTAAATATTTTTTAATACCAAAGAAAAAAAATAATTGAAAAGAAAAGTAAAATAAATAATCCAAAATTATTTGAATTCTCAAGTAAATCAATAAATAGTGTTTTCCAATTTGTGTAACACTATAATTCTACCTTACCGTTTTGAAAATGGAGTACTTTTCTTTTGTGTTTATGAAAGTTATAAGATTTGTTTTAAATCTAGCACGATTTGTACATAAATTTGTTCTTTGTAATTATATTTAAATATTCATAAAAGAACATTCAAACTATTAACCAATGATTATTAAATAAGTTTCTTCGTTTAGTTGGAATTTAACGTCAGTCTCTGTAAAAATTTTAAATTACATCAAGTTTAAATTTTCTACAAGTACAAATCACAGTTTATATGACTCGAAATTAATATTTTTAATAAGCGTTTTTAATGTAGAAAGTAAAGTTATTTTATGTTTGCATATGAAAAATAAACTAGAAGTTGTTTGTAAAAACTGATTGAACTCAGTTTTTGTAAAAACACGTTTTTGTTAAAAACCGACTTTTTAACATTATTTTGTTATACATGTAGACAAAGTATGTGATTATTAGTAAGAACCTTACTTTTACCATGTAAGGAAATGATTGCGTTTATTTTTACGTATTTATTTTTAGATAAAATTTTACAATACGTATAAGTTGTAAATGATGATATTAATGTACATAGTTATAGATTCTCCGAAGCGATCGGATCTACCTCGTCTTTTCAATAGTCATTCAAAAACCAGATACTCTTGCTTTCAGGTTTCCTAAAAGGGCTGTAAAGATATATTACGTAAATCCTATCTTAAATAATAAATAAAATATATGTAAGACAATATAAATAGTTGCCTTATTTAAAATAATTAATAATATTGATAACAGTATTACTGATATTGGATTATTAAAATTAAATATTAAACCCCTATGAATCGCTTTATAGTGTTCGATAAATTTAAGTGTTTATACATTCTGGTTAAATACTTTAAACAATTCAAACATTTTAATATCTTTCGTATTAGTTTAAATAATCTAATGTTTTTTTCTAGTGTGCTAAAAATTTCATTAATTAAATTTCCACTAGTGTTTACTTAGCTTTGCATTATTTTTTGCAGTGTAAAATTTATCACTAGTATATAGTAATTACTTAAGAAATTATATTAAGTATTAATTATTCACTAATTTCTGTTTATGTTTAAGATAAAACTTTTTGAGCTAAAATTTATTTATCCCTAAATGTAGGAAAAAAGTTTATAAAATGACTGATTGTTTTGTGTGTTGCTACAGGTGGTAGTTGACTATAGAGAAGCTATACGTCGAAAGCATATAATAACAAGTCCTCAGTCATGTAAACAAATCCAATATGCATTTGGCCGTTCGTTCCACAATCCACTATTCGCACACATCTGGCCGCTGTTATTAAATGGAATCAAAACCGATATCGATTTTTTCACATAAATGTAAGCTGAATCATTTTTTTCTTCGCTGATTTTCGAATGAACGGTGTTGAAAATACGTTGTGAAAATATTTAATAATTTATTAATTTAAAAATTATTATTGAGAGTACATAAAATCAATTTAAATAATAATTACATAAAAAATATAATTTTATAATTAAAATAAACTGAAATTTAAATATTAAAGTGGAAGCTATTTTCATATTGCAAAAAAATAAATTATTTGAATTTAATAAACGATATAAACAATATAACTTTTTAAATAACAATAAAATAAGTAAATTAATTTATTTATTACCTCAATTTAATACTAATTATAAAAATTAAGCAAACAAAAAATACAACAACAATCAAAAACAAAAACAATTAGTTAAATATTGTAGGTTAAAAATAAAAAAATGGCTTTAGATTTTGTGGCAACCTACAAAGTTTTAGTGTTAGGTGACTCCAATGTGGGCAAAACCTGCATTGTACATCGGTACTGTGATGAAAAATATTACGAAACATATATTTCCACTATTGGTAAGAGTTTATATATACCTTCATATATAGAAACATATATTTGTGCATATGTTTTTATGCATAAATTGAACTCAGTAAAATCAATTTTAATTGCCCAATTAAGTTTTTATTAGGGATTCATTAGTAAACAAAGGATGATGAAGGATTAACGTTTTCTTATATGATCTATTCCTTAATTATTTAATTATTTTACTTGTTTTATTAGTATTCATTTAATTAATTATAAAATTGCTTAGTATATAAAGTAGAACACTATTGATATTGTGTATCGGTGGCAATTAATTTTAGTACCAGAAATGTTCTATAAGGGGGAGGCTTTCAAATGAAAGGCTACATCAGTTCTTCTTTTGTTTACTTTTCTGTATTATTATTATAATGCATTAATTATATATAGATATATGTATACATAAAGTCATTCCGTTTGTTTCGGGTGGTTTCACCTATTCAAGTTTCCTCCTTAACTTTATTTTCAAATTTCTCTTATTTAATAAAAAAAATTTGTTTCATGTAACTTTACTAATAATATTTACGGTCTGTTTCATCTGTCCAACAATTATATTCGAAACTGAAAAACTATTTTAAGAATATAAAAGCCGACAAAGTTTTCACTAACACCTCATACATATTATACGAGTATGAATGTCATAGGCCCAGATATTCAACATTCTCATAGGTATTTTGTGCAATCTAATAAATTCTACATATTAGGAACTGAGAGCGGATAGGAACTGAGAGTTGGATACGTTTTGCAACATAGATTCTTTCGTTGCCAGTATTAGTTCTCGGAAATCTATAAGAGCATTCATATTTCCCGAAATGTAATGCTTTTGTTGACAAATTTTGATATAATATTATACAATATATGTTTTAAATACATATGTATATTAAAACTGGAAGATGGATGAAAGATTTACTGTTATTTTAGCAATATACTACGTCTTCAGTTTGTTACAACTACTGTGACTGAAGTATTTAATACTAATTCCCAAGCGGTAATAAGTTCACATTTTAATTAGCTTTATCATTTAAGTATTGTGATTTGTGAGATCAGTTTTGTTCTACAGCTGCTTTGCTTATAGTAAGGTTTCTAAAACTACTTTTAAACACATTCTCTAAACTAACTACTTTTAAACATACCAATTTAAACCCAGCCAAAAAAAAATCTTTATGTTCATGTTATGCAGAGTGTCACGGGCACGTCATAATCAAAATTGTTGTTACTTTCAATGCATATTAAAAAACTAAGAGTGAGTAAAAAAACCAAATATCGGTTTAAATTCGGTCATGAGAACCGAGACTTCTGCCAAGACTTCTGCTTCGTCGACGACTGTCTAGTTTTCATGCGGTCGTCTAACCCCCGCCGCATTGCCGATGAGCTTAATGCCCACCTTAGATCCCTCCTTGACTACTACACCAGGTGGAAAATTAAACCCACCAAGATCTCTGCTATAGCCCTTCTAAGCCAGCAGTGTGATCGCACCAGAGGTTTTGATATCTCTGACATCGAGCTCAGATTCAACAACACTCGCATCCAGCTAGTTCCCAAACTGAAATATCTTGGCATTGTTTTTTCCCCACAACATAATTTTATCCCCCACGTTAATTTGCCATTCGTAGATAAAACCAGCTTAGCTGCAAAGTTAAGCTGCTCTGCTATAAGCAATTTATTCGGCCCCTACTCACTTACGACTTCCCCATTTGGTCTGCAATCTCTTCCGCCCAAATGGAAAGAAGACTATCTGTGCCTCGTCACTCAGTTAAAGCCGTATTTATGTATAAATTTTCTTCAAAAATTAGGTAGAAAAGTAATAGTAAAAAGACGGAATTGACAAACTGATGTGACACTCTGTATATCATGCATTTTCATCACGTGCTATTAATTGACTGCTTTAAGAACCAAATCTCTACAGTTGCATCAATAATATTTGATTTAAGATAATTTTTAGATATTATACTGTATTCATTCTTCTAAATATTGAACCTTATTAGTACAGGTTGTTATGGATTTTTGTGGATTTTATGTGATATATGACACTAATTACTCCACAAATGCCGAGTTAATGGCGTTAATGTAAACCTACAGTAAGACATAGGGAAAGACTTGTTATTTTTAATTGATTTCTTTTTTTGAATTTATTTCTTTTCGTAAATGTGTGATTTTTTCATTATGTTACTAACGCATTAATAATTGTTAACTGGAATATAAATGGTTACAAATTCATCTAGTCGTTGTAACCTTTGAAATAGCACAAAAAATTTCAAAAATATAGCTGATTAAAAATTCTTTGCACTAAAATCTACTCGTAAAATTTAACAACGTATGCAAAAAAACCGAAAATTTTGCTATAAAGCACCTATTCTAATTCCATTTCCATGGACACATACACTCACACGATTTTGCAAAGCACACTGTTATTCCTTGTACTGCTTATTAAGCATCTGTAAAATGATTTGTGCTGGTAACGTCAAAGTTAATTATATCAGCAAACAAAAGTTAATATTAACACAGTTATGTGTTTACATTACAATGTCGTTAAATTTTTAAAGTATTATTAACTCTATAATCTCAAAATAGTTTAATGAGATAACGTTTTATATATTTCTTCTTTTATTTTATAGGCATTGATTTTAAACAGAAATTAATAAATTTAGATGGTGTGCCAATAAAATTACAAATCTGGGACACTGCTGGACAGGAACGCTTTCGTACACTGACAACGGCCTATTATCGTGGTGCTATGGGCATTTTATTGATGTATGATGTGACGAACTTGGAAAGTTATAATAATTTATCTTATTGGTTACGAAATATACAAGAGGTATGTTAATTAATTATATATGAGATTGTAAGACGTTATCATTTCATTTTCTAGAATGCCTCGCCGGATGTTGTGAAAGTATTAGCTGGCAACAAATGTGAATGCTCAGCAACACAGCGTATGGTAGATAAGGAGAGAGGGGAAAAGGTAAATATTCATAAAATTAAAGTCGAAATATACACAGACATGGTTTTTACGTAGCAAGAAGGGCAAAGCATCAAATGGGGCCAAACACAAGTATATTTTATGTTTTTTATTTTTATGTTTTTTGGGGGTACCAAAAAGCTATGGTACCCCTGTCTCCAGTTATTTTTGCAATACCACTGATGATTATATCAATTCATCTCAAGTTAATATATAACATATATGCAGGATGTTCTGAATGATATAGAATATATCAGAAATTCAGGATGTGATTTTCTGCTTCTTATTATATTTTTATTAAATCTTTTTAAACGAAAGTTTAAAGTTGACACAATAAAAATAATATTTAATATAATATTTAAGAGTATTTGTCTTCATTATTCTTATATTATTACTATATTGAAGTATTCCTTTTCCGATTGCATTATATTGGTTTTGCTCTTGACCTTTTATACTTTGTCAGTTAGTTAGTATTTCTTCAAACTAAATACTTTTTGTAACTGATAATGCTATCAATGCTTTCGTTGTCATAGTAATTATTGTCAATTTTCCAGCAAGTCCACTTCTCAGTCTGGACTCTCAGGAAGATATGCTGATTTAAGGTCCGTCATCAACTAAAAGACAAATAAATGATATGACTTCTTAGCCTAGTTAAAGCCTAGTGTGGGGTAGAGATAAGCCCCCCAGTCATTATAGAGTAAAAGTAAGTAATAACACTAACTCAAGTAAAAGAATCAAGAATCAA